CACACCAGATGGCTGGGAAGAGATGGCAGCTGGCATGCCCCCCTTGTCCAGAGCAGGTGGTTGAGAGAAACCCCAAGGCCTCTGGGGGAATGCACCTCGATGTGGCTCGGCTACATTCTCTGCCTGTGGCCAGGTTGCCTTGTTCTTTCCCAAGCTGAGTGAGCATGAGGTCATGAGTCCAGAATGAGGTGGCATGTGCCATGCACCATTGCATAGTTTATTCCTCCTCAGGTGCTATGAGGCCTGTGAATATCATGGGGTGGTCCTGAGGCCCATGGTTTTGGACAACCCCTCCCAGCTGCCTCCACCTTTTTCCTAACTTCTGAAACAACTCCACTTTTCAGAGAGCTCCTCCTGCAGGAAGCATCGCAGTCCACCTGGCCCACTCAGCTCCCCAGACTGGCTTGTACTTAGTCCCCACTGGCCGCACCCCTCCCAGCACATGCCCTGTACCTGAGCACCTCCCAGGTGCTGACGCTTCACAGACCTGGATGTCAAACTTCTGTGGCTTGTCATCTTCTATGCACAAAGGAGGAAACTGAGGCAGCAGGTCCCAAAACTGGCAAACTCCATGTGCCAGAGCACTGGCTTTTTCCTCCATTCCTCAGGCACCCCTAGTGATGGGACCAGCTCACAGAAAAGTGGGTGACAGGGGAAGATATTGGCAGTGTCCCTGGAGAAGCAGAATGGAGAGGGGGGAATCTAACTTAAGTGTGACTCAGAAGGGTGTCATGCTCAGATCTTAGAAACAAAGACAGACATCAAAGAAATGCAAATCAAACCCACACTGAGATGCCACCTAACTCAGTCAGGATGGCCATCATTAATAGCTCAAAAAACAACAGATGCTGGAGAGGATGTGAAGAAAAGAGAACACGTCTACATTGTTGGTGGAAATGTAAGCTAGTGCAACCTCTGTGGAAAACAGTGTGGCAATTTCTAAAAAATCTAAAAATCAACCTTTTCATATGACCCAGGAATCATCCTTCTGGGCCTCAGGGCCACCCCATGACATTCACAGACCTCATAGCACCTGAGGAGGAATAAACTATGCAATGGTGCAGGGCAGATGCCACTTCATTCTGGACTCATGAACTCATGCTCACTCAGTTTGTGAAAGAACAAGCCAACCTGGCCACAGGCAGAGAATGTGGCCAAGCCACATCGAGGTGCAACCCCCCAGAGGATATATACCTAGAGAAACTCAAATCATTCTACAAAAAAGATATCTGATCTGTACACTTAAGTTTACTGCAGCACTATGCACAATAACAAAAACATGGAACCAACTGTGCAGCACATCGAAAGTGAACTGGATTTTTTTAATGTGGTACATACACACAATAGAATATTATGCAACCAAAAGGACAAAATTATGGACTTTGCAGCAACTTGGAAAAATTTGGAGTCTATCATACTCAGTGATCACAAAAAGAAAAAGAATGGAGTACCACAAGTTCTCACTCATAAGTGGAACCTGAGCATGTACAATAATAGTGCTACAAGAAAAGGATTGGCAGCAGTGGATCACACTGGGAGGAGGGGAGATACACAATAGTAAAAAGGGTAGCTGATCCCAAGTCAGGCTAAGTTAAAAACCAATGGGAGGCCCAAACTTCATCTGTATGATGACCACTTACTCACACACCCCAGTCCCCTTCTAGAATACCACCCTACACACCTCCAAGTCCCAGGTTTCTGTTCAAAAGCCACTGCTCAGTGGCCTTCCCTGATCAAGCAGTATAAAATAGCCTCACACCCAGAATGTGTTACTCTTTCTCCTGGGCCCACTTTTACTTTTCTACATAATTCCTGTGACCACCTGACGTATTTCCCACTGACATATGGGAGTTCCAGCCTTTGGAAGAAAAGCATGCTAGAACTGTTGCCTGGTCTCTGATGGGACCTTATGTTCATCTCCAGGTGCCCTCTGGACAGCCAGCCTGGACATGGCCCCATAGAGGTTCAGACTCTGTGTGTATGTCTGTGTGTGTGTGTGTGTGTGTGTGTGTGTGTGTGTGTGTGTGTGTCTATGTGTATACCTGTGTGTATCTGTATGTGTCTGTGTACAAGGTGGGGACCCAAAAAACCCAGAACTTATTTACTAAAAAAGTGTACCTATTCTTACATGTTTAACTTTTGATCACCTTCTTTTTTTTCCCATTTGATGCAATACACATCTGAGAAACTTTTTCCACTGTTCAACACTTTTTGAACTCATCAAATTGATACCTTTTAGTGCTTCAGCCATTTTTTGTTTCAACTCTTCTACATCAGCAAAATGTTTCCTTTGAGGACTTCTTTCATCCTGGGAAATAAACACATAAAAAAGTTGCCCAGGGCAAGACCCAGTGAATAGGGAGGGTGGGGCATGGGGATCATGCTGTTTTTTGATCAAAAACTGCTAAAATTTCAGTGCAGTGTGGACAGGTACACTTGTTAACCACTCACCATGAAATGAGCAAACGTTGAAAGAACGCAGTCTCTCACAATGGCACTAGCTTGTACACTGATGCCGATGAATTCCTGAAATACTTACCTAGCAGGGGAAACCTGTATTACAAGGAGTCCACCCTCCAAAAAATGATTCCGTTTTCTGGGAGTCTCCCCTCATATGCCTATATGTGCACCAGTGTGCCTGTGTGTGTGTGTGTGTGTGTGTGTGTTTGTGTGTGTGTGTTTGTGTGTGTACTTCTGTGTTCATGTGTAACTGTGTCTGTTTTGTTTTTTTTTTTTTTGAGTTGGAGTCTCTCTGTCACCCAGACTGGAGTGCAGTGGCATGCTCCCAGCCACCACAGCCTTGACCTGCTGGGCTCCAGTGAACCTTCTGCCTCAATCTTCCAAGTAGCTGGAACTACAGGCGCCTGCTACCATGCCCGGCCGATTTTTGATTTATTGTAGAGATGAGGTCTCGCCAAGTTGCCCAAGCGGGACTCGAACCTGCGGGTTCAGGCAATTCACTCACCTTGGCCTTCCAAAGTGTGGGATTACAGGCTGAACCACTGAGCCCGGCCTGCTGTGTCTGTTTTTGTGTGCCTGTTTGTATCTGTGCCTGTGTTGGTATACCTATGCGGGCATGGGTGTGTCTGCATATGTGTCTGTGTATCTGTGTCATGTAAATCTGTGTGTATGTATGTTTACCTGTGCCTGTGCGTGTCTGTGTGTGCATCTACCTGTGTCTGTATCAGGAGTACTGCTTGTGCATTAGTGTCTCTGTATGTGTGTGTATACCTGTGAGTATCTGCATGTGTGTCTGCATGTGTTTATGCTCATGTAATCTGCATATGTATCTGTGCATGTGTCATTTCTTTGTCTGCTGGTGTATCTGTGTGTATTTGTGTCGGCATGTGTCTGCACATATGTGCAAGTATGTTTGTCTGCATGTGTCTGTATCTGTGTATATGTGCATGTGTGTGTATGTCTGTAGTTATGTAAATGTGTTTGTGTGTATATCTATGTGTGTGTATGTAAATATGTGTATCTGTGCATGTGTGTCTATGTCTGTGTGTGTTCACTCTGCGATCTCCACGGATGGGCTGTCTGAACACTTCAAGTTTTCCCTGAGAGCAAAGCACACAGAAGCCAGTAGGAAGGTGTAGCCAAGGACTCACCACACAGTCTCCTCATGTGGGTGTGCTCTGTCTCTAAAGACTTTTATCACCCATGTCACCTCAGTCTGCCTACACCAGATCCCAAGTTGAGCACCTGTTCTGTGCTGTCCCCAGGCACCCTTTGTGGTTCTTTTCTTACTTGTGTGCTTGCATTTTGTGGGAGACAGACACTAAATAAGAGCAGGAGAAAGTGTCTTTGGACCATGACAGGTGTTGCGGGGCATCCATGGGGCACAGGCCTTCCGTGGTGACCTGGTGAGTAGCACAGAGTGAGGATGACTGGGATGAAACAGGTTTGGTGCTCAGGGGCCATCCAGTGGTGGACCGAGCAGTCATGTGGCCTCTTTGTTCAAAAATAATCTTCTCTTGATGGGGGGAGGAGGATCACCCATAAGCCCCACATAGAGTGTCCCACATCTGCTTGAGGACACCCATTCCAGATCTGGGTCCTGCACACCACCGATAGGATGCGGCGCCTACATAACCTCCAGGCCCAAGTTCCTCCTGCCATAATCATCTGTCCTTACTGTCTCCTCCTGGGGATCTCTCCCAGCACCAGGTCTCAGAGGGTGGGGTCTCCTTCTCACCCCCTTCATAGACATCTCATCTCTCTGGGAAGCCCTATCCCCATGCAAGTGTGCTGCCTGTGTGCGTGGAGGGAGGGAAAGTTGTCTCCCCAGGTGCCGTCTCCAGGTCTGACCTACCTCTGTCCTGGCCACAGCCCCTGCCGCAGCAGCCCCCAGCCATAGCTGAGGGCTGCCTGCAGCCTGTCTCTCACTTCAAATGGATTTCACTGACCAGTTCGGCTGGAACTGGAACTCCTCTGTCAGGCCCTGGGCCAGCACAAAGATTCAACAGGAATAACTCAGGAATAACTGCTAGACGACCTCAATTCACAGGAGAGGAAAACGAGGCCCAGAGAGGGCAGTGAGGGCCAGGTGAGAGGAAGAAACGGGAGCACCCGTCCCTGTCCCTGTCCCCAAGCCACCAGGCTTCCCCCGCCCCCCACCCCAAGTCTCCCTGAGAGGCTGTTGGATTAGAGGTTCTTTGTCCATCTCCTGTGGAAATCTGCAGGTGATAGGGCAGCCTGCTGGGGCAGTCGATGTGCAGCGCGCACACACACACACACACACACACACACACACACACACCTTCTTGGCTAGGAAGGGGGTTGGAGGAGGTTGGGTCAGCCCCAGACTCACCACTGATCTCTGACTGACGATCACAATCACATTTCCTGTCTTGAGGGCTGCAGATCACACGCTGCAGGTTGCAGAACAGGCCACATTGTAGAGGACTCTCCTGGATTGGATGACCTACTGTGTGCACTGGGGAGGGGGAAGAGACACACACAGGCACACATGACGTAGACACACTAGACACACAAAAGACACACATAGATATTCACACACACACACACACACGAGGCACACACAGATACATACACTGAGAGATGTACCCACATATACACACGCGACAGACACACACAGGCCGCCAGGCCCAAAGCAGGGAAGGCACAGCCTCTGGGTGCGAGCAGGTCAATCTGGTGCCGGTCATCAAGGTTAAGCGTAGGCGCGTCCCCTCGGGCTGGGATAGGCCCTGGCGGGTGCAGGAATCTCCTGTGGGTGTCCCCTCTGGGTCTGGGGCCCTGGTTCCCTCCCCCGGGCCCATCTCCGTTGCCGCTGCCTCCTCCTCCTCCTCCCAGTCCTCTTCTTCGCCACAGACCGGATGTGGGGCACCGGGTGGCCGCCGGCGGGGATCTCATCCTGCG